GAGTTCGAGACCAGACTGACCAACATGGAGAAAACCTGTCTCTACTAAAAATACAAAATTAGCCGAGTTTGGTGGTATGCCTGCAATCCCAGCTACTCGGGAGGCTTAGGCAGGAGAATTGCTTGAACCCAGGAGCCAGAAGGTTTCAATGAGCTGAGATCATGCCATTACATTCCAGCCTGGGCAACAAGAGCAAAACTCCGTCTCAAAAAAAAGAGAAAGAAAACCAGGAAGACGGCCAGGCGTGGTGGCTCACGCCTGTAATCCAAGCACTTTGGAGGCCAAGGCAGGCGGATCACCTGAGGTCGGGAGTTCCAAGACCAGCCTGACCAACATGGTGAAACCCTGTCTTTATTAAAAAAAGAAAGAAAGAAGGAAAGATAGAAGGAAGGAAGGAAAGAAAGAAAGAAAGAAAACCAGGAAGACTTTGCTTCTCTTCTCTTGCCCCTTACTTAACAAAATAATGTTGAAATATCTCAGCATGACACATGAGATCTTTCACAATTTTGGTCTCAAAGTTTTCATACCTTAAAAATGCCTTCAGCCGGGTGCGGTGGCTCACCCCTGTAATCCCAGCACTTTGGGAGGCCAAGGCAAGAGGATTCCTTGAGGCTGGGAGTTCAACACCAGCCTGGCCAATATGGCAAAAATACCATCTCTATTAAAATTACAAAAATTAGCTGGGCATGGTGGCATGGGCCTGTTATCCCAGCTACTCAGGAGGCTGAGTCAGGAGAATCACATGAATCCAGGAGGTGGAGGCTGCAGTGAGCCAAGATTGCACCTTTGCACTCCAGCCTGGGCAACAGAGTAAGACTCTGACAAAAAAAAAAAAAAAAAGCCTTCAGTTTAGCTATAGATGGCCAGGAGCTGCTTATCTGCCATTCAGACCCTGTGTTCCTTTCCTAATCTTTGCCTTACCTCAAATTCCAAGTCAATCAATGACTCAATGTTTTGTTTTTTTTGAGACAGAGTTTTGCTATTGTTGTCCAGGCTGTAGCGCAAGCCATCTCGGCTCACTGCAACCTCCGCCTCTGCCTCCTGGGTTCAAGTGATTCTTCTGTCTCAGCCTCCCGAGTAGCTGGGATTACAGGTGCATGCCACCAGACCCAGATAATTTTTGTATTTTTAGTAGAGACAGGGTTTCATCATATTGGTCAGGCTGGTCTCGAACTCCTGGCCTCAGGTGATCCACCCACCTTGACCTCCCAAAGTGCTGGGATTACAGGCATGAGCCACTACGCTCAGTTTTGTTTTTTGAGATGGAGTCTTGTATCTGTCAACCAGGCTGGAGTGCAGTGGCGCAATCTCAGCTCACCACAACCTCTGCCTCCTGGGTTCAAGTGATTCTCCTGTCTCAGCCTCCCAAGTAGCTGGGATTACAGGCATGTGCCACCATGCCCGGCTAATTTTTGTAGTTTTAGTAGAGACAGGGTTTCACCATGTTGGTCGGGCTGGTTTCAAACCCTGACCTCAGGTGATCTGCCCACCTCAGCCTCCCAAAGTGCTGGGATTACAGGCATGAGTCACCGTGCCCGGCCAATGAATCAATGTTTATTGAGCACCTCCGGTGTACTAGCTAGGTGCTTTGTCATCTATTATCACATTTAAAGGTCACAGCATGCCCCTGAAGGATGTATCATTCTCTCTTTAAAGATGAAAACACCAGCCGGGCACAGTGGCTCATGCCTGTAATCCCAGCACTTTGGAAGGCCAAGGTGGGCAGAAAATGAGGTCAACAGACTGAGACCATCCTGGTAAACATGGTGAAACCCCGTCTCTTCTAAAAATACAAAAATTAGCCAGGCATGATGGTGCTCACCTGTAGACCCAGCTACTTGGGAGGCTGAAGCATGAGAATCCCCTGAACCTGGGAGACAGAGGTTGCAGTGAGCTGAGATCATGCCACTGCACTCCAGCCTGGTGACAGAGCGAGACTCTGTCTCAAAAAAAAAAAGAAAGAAAATAAATGAAGACACCGAGGCTCAGAGAGAGACACACCTGAAGTCACCTAGGTAGTAATAACCAGCTTTGGAGCCTTCTGTCTCAAGCCCACCACTCTCTGCCATGCCTCAGTGGGGCTGCAGCTTTTACAGGGACTGTGGGAAAGTTGGTGATCCCGAGGGAGTCTGGAATAAGCCCACTTGAGGTCCCCTTTGAAGATACCTTTGGAGACTGGTCAAGGGTAGAGTGTCACCATCCTGCTCTCTTTCATTCAGCCTGCCCCTAGAGGCATGCCAAAGGGAGGCTGCAGCTGCCCGGGAAGAGGCTGAGCAAGCCCTAGGAGAGCTAGACCAGGCCCTGGCTCAGCTTCAGGCCCATGTGGCAGACATGGAAGCCAAGTATGAGGAAATCTTACCTGTAAGCACCACCCTTGCCCAGCCACCCAGTACCCAGGACTCCCCCATGCCCACAAACCCCAGCTAGTATGATGACTGACAACCCAGGGGTAAGGAGAAGAAGCGTCTCCAAGGGAACCCTGCTCTATCCTGAGGGCAGAAAGAGGGGATACAACCATGTCTACTGGGCAAGGAAAGCTTACAAAGCAAGCTGGGGCAGCCCTCCCCTTTCCTTCTGTCTTCTGGGGGCTGAAATCTTGGTGTCTGCAGGACAGCCTGTACAGGCTCTTGGCCAAGCTGAGAGCCATCAAGCCGCAGTGGGATGCAGCTGCGCTGAGACTCCACGCCAGGCTCAAGGAGCAGCTATGCCAGTTCGGACTCACCCCCTGGATCTTTGAGACCTCCAGCCTCTAGTCTCTCAGGCTCCTTAAGGCCCCAGCAATAAAGCGTCTTGATGCAGAACTCAACAGAGCTGTGGGCGGTAGCTCTTTGGCAGAGAGGAGTGGATCTTTTTTATTATTTTTATTTATTTATTTTTCTT